AGGTTGGATATTAGGAAGTACTTCCTCATGGACAGGGTGATCAGACATTGGAATGGACTTCCCAGAGAAGTGGTGGGAGCACCATCCCTTCATGTGTGCAAGGAAAGGCTGGATGTGGCACTTAGTGCCATGGTCTAGCCGTGTGGTGGTGTTGGTCATAGGCTGGACTTGAGGATCTTAAAGGTCTTTTTCAACCTTGGTGATTCTCTGATTCTGTGTTTCTGTTATGGAAGTCCCCTCCCTGCAGGCCAGGTTGGATTAGGCCTTTTGCAGCCTGGTGTAGTGTGGGGTGTCCCTGCTTATAGCAAGAGGATGGGAACCTGATGCGCTTTAAGGTCCCTTCCAGTCTTAACCACTGTGATTCTATGTGCATCTGCCTTTTGCTGCTCTGCATCTCTGTGTGCACAGAAACATGAAAAAGTGCAGTCAAAGTTAAGTAGCACACAGAGCTAACAGTTTTTCAAACATTGCTGGATCTCTCAAGGTGACTGTGTCTTTCAGCTGGAAAGGTTACAACAACACTAGGAGAAATGCTTGTTACTGGAATAAAGGGAGTGAAGTGACATGAGCACAAGAAAAAACCACTACGTGTACAAACCACAAAGTTTGGCTGTGGGAAATCTTTCTTGCCACATTGAGCATCTTAAAATAGAGAAATAAATTGACTCCTAAGCAGTTAGCAAGATGGTCTCTGGGGGTCATGAAGCCTACTTGAAAACAAGAATAGATACTGCTGACCCTTCATCTGCAGTTGAAGGAAGGGCTTGGCTAACCTGGAATTGAGTCATCTGTATTGCAAACAGATAATGAATGGAAATTAGGTTGTTCCAATGGTAGATGTATTTGTGAGTGTAAGTGCTGAGGCATACAGTACTAGCTTTCTGGCAAGCCTGAGTGCTTAGGGCTGTAAATCAGGCCATAAAGTTATGCCAGGGCTTGCATAAAACAACTGTGGTAGAAGGACACAAGCAGCAGTGGAATCACATCTGATTTTGCAAGTTATTTCTGTAAGTGTAGGCAATTTTAAGTGCATGCGTAAACCTTACTGAATTCAGGAGTCAGGTACACATTCATTGGTCTTTGCTGACATGGGACATAAATTACTTTATCAGGATTATAGGAAGTGTCTGAGGTTGAGCCAGGCTTTGGTAGAGTTGCAGTATTGGCTTTCAGTCCAAAGTGTATATATCTCCTTCATTTGAAAGAACACAGAATCACAGAATGTTAGAGGTTGGAAGAGACCTCGAAAGATCATCTAATCCAACCCCCCTGCCAGAGCAGGATCACCTAGAGCACATCACACAGGAACGTGTCCAGGCAGGGTTTGAAGGTCTCCAGAGAAGGAGACTCCACAACCTCTCTGGGCAGCCTGTTCCAGTGTTCTGTCACCCTCACAGTAAAGAATATTTTCTCATATTTACATGGAACCTCCTGTGCTTCAGTTTGCACCCATTGCCCCTTGTCCTGTCATTGGACATCACTGGGAAGATGTCCTCCTCCCTTCTTCCTCCCGACACTCACCCTTTACACATTCATAAGCATTAATGAGGTTGCCTCTCAGTCTCCTCCAAGCTAAAGAGACCCAGCTCCCTCAGCCTTTCCTCATCAGGGAGATGTTCCACTCCCGTAATCATCTTTGTGGCTCTGTGCTGGATTCTTTCAAGCAGTTCCCTGTCCTTCTGGAACTGAAGGGCCCAGAACTGGGCACAATATTCCAGATGTGGTGTCCCCGAGGCAAAATAGAGGGGGAGGAGAACCTCTCTTGACTGACTAACCACACCCTTTCTAATGCACCCCAGAATGCCATTGGCCTCCTTGGCCACGAGGGCACATTGCTGGCTCATGGTCATCCTCCTGTCCACCAGGAACCCCAGGTCCCTTTCTCCTACGCTGCTCTCCAGCACGTCAGCCCCCAACCTATACTGGGACATGGGGTTGTTCTTCCCAAGACGCAAGAATTGCCTGTGTTGCATTTCAAGGGCAACACCTTAATGTCTTAGGCTTGTCCCAGACTTCTCTTCTTGCTTTGAAAATGAACAGTATTCCATGCAGCTTGCTGTGTGGATGGTTTCTGAAAAATACATTCAGCTCTTGGGTTCTGCACTGTACAGGTGTTCCTCTGACCTTCTTGTGTGCCAGCCAACGGTTTCTCCCATGTGAATTGTTCTCTGTGCCTCTTTTCTACACGTAGTAGCTGCTTTCTGTCTTGGACATGTTTATATTTTTTTAAACCTCCCCCTATTTTTTTTCTTTTTATTTTTTTTTCTTTCCTTTCTCAGAAGTTGAATGATGATTTGAAAATGCAATTTTGAACCATTGGATTTGGGGTTTCAGTGGTCAAATACATTCAACAATTCATTAGCACAGAAACGTAGTGACAGAAAAAACCTTAAACTTCAGTATTTTTATTTTAAAAATTAGTGTTTCTTACAAATGTGACAAGTATGCACACTCCCACCCAAATTCCCATATTCATTTATACAGAGTTTTACTGGAATGCATAAAAATGAACTTTTGCCCTCGTCCTGTGGGATTTCTTTTAATGCTGCTGCTGACCTAAGTCCTGGTGTAGTATCTTAGTGACTGGTCACAAACTGTTGTGTTTATGGCTGTCGTCCTCTATTAAAAACATTGTTTTAATTTGAGTGAACTCATATATGTGTGTTTCCAGGTTTATCCTAATAAAATAACTATATATTGGGGATGAGGGAGATTCCCTGAAATTTCACTTTAGAAATCTAACTTGTGATTTCCTGCATAACATTTGAAAGGGAAAAAAGAGCTTCTACTTGACCTTTAAATAGGTGCTTTGAGTCAATTCTTGAAGATTTTTTTATTCTCCTTGGGCTCTAAAGACAATGGCTTGTAATAGATGGTCAAGGCATTGGTGCCTAATCATAGAATCACAGAATCATTTGTGTTGGAAGGGACCTTTAAGATCATCTAATTCCAACCCCCCTGCATGGGCAGGCACACCTCCCACTAGACCAGGTTGCTCAAAGCTCCATGCAACCTGGTGTGGAACACTTATAGGGGAGGAGGCTTCCACAGCCTCCCTGGGCAGCCTGTGCCAGTGTCTCATCACCTCACGCTAAATAATTTTTTCCTAATGTCTTAACTACTCCTCCATTACCCCTCAAACTATCACTGCACAGCCTCGTAAAAAGACACACCCTGTAATCCTGTTACGTAGGAAAGAACTTCCTGCAAAACTGATTTTTCTTCTTGTAAATAGTAAAATATTAATAGAAAAGTAACTGTTGGTAGCGTTTGCTTTCATCTGTACAGCTGGAGAGTTGGACCTAGCACGGTCCTGAGATTTCAGGTTCTTAGTTCTTATTTCAACCTCATGTCTGTAAATGTAGGTTGGGAGCAGTGGGATATTACACGTTTCCAGAAGCTTGTTTACTTTTACATCTCGTTATAGTAATGTTTAAACTCAGAAACCACCAATCTGCAGTGTCACTGGAGATCTGTGAACTTGGTTTCGGCTCAATCTAGTGGTCACTCTGGAGAGCCACAACCCAGTTTTACACCCTGGCAAGACTTGACAGAGGTTTTAGAACAGGGCCTGCTTGTTTTCCCAAATTATGTGTGGTACCTGCGTCAGAATACTGTGCCTTTTCCTGTAGGCTGTCTTTGCAGATTAAGAATTTTTACTACATCTCACTGAGGCCTTTGGTTCACCCTGATGCAGTTCTCTTCTGGGAACTACCTGTGCTGTAGCAGTATGAAATTGTGGAAGTGTAAGCTGTTTTGGACACTGACTACAGGGAAAAAAAGGCCTTGAAGTTCAAGTTTTGCACTTAAGCTTGTAAAACTGTTGTGCAGTGAAGGGTTATGTTGACAGTGAGAATAAATTGTTTTTCCCAGTGGTAACTGTCTTGTATGTATGTAGCATTTAGAAACTATTCAAGGAAAGAGGAAAATTTCTCTTGCCCTTCTGATAATACTTCCAGTCCTGCTTGAATCCAGAACTCACTGTAAGTTTAAGATTAGATACTTAATGTGTGAGCTCATTGTACACACACAAGAAAGTACCTTGGGCAAAACACGTGTGACTTCAGTGTTATTAATAAAGCACGTTTTTATTGGCTACACTCTAGCTCAAGGTTATAGAGGACTGGCAACATCCAAAAAATGTCCTGAAGATCTGCAGAAGGCACTGAGTCTGATGGCACCCTCTAGATAGTTGACTATATTTGGCTCAAGCAGTGCTTAAATTTTCCTAGAGGGGTGAGGCTGCTGAGCGGTGCAGGTGTAACCAACCAGCTTGGTGGCTGGGAAAGGAGCTGAGGCTGAGTCATGGGTCTGTGAGTTGGTCCATCTCTGTGAGACGGTTTTCTGGAGGCAAGAGCAAAAGAGAAAGTGATGGTCTCATGGTTGAGCCTCTCCTCTTGCTATCAGAAATAATGCTAGTGGGAAACAGCAGGCAGCCAGAATCTCCCCAGCTCTTCTGGGGGAAGAACAGCTCTGAGAAGAGTGGGAGTTTTCTCCCAGGCAGGTTCCCCAGATTTCCTGTGCCCTCAACCTTCCTGGGCCTCAGGCACTCACTTCCACCTCAAAACTTCATCTCGGATTCTTTACGGAATTTAAAAAAAAAATCCATTCCACTGTGGTCAATGTGCTGTTTTGTCTACAGAGAGAGGTTTTGTTGTGTAAACCTGTTATTTAATGAGGGGAACTTAAACTACTGTAATTTATTTAACGTGACTAATAAGCATTGTAACAGCTGTACAGTTTAAATAAAGCACTCTCCAAATTACCTTTTAGTGGGAACTTCTGCTGTTATTATTTAATTATTACTGAGAAAAATTGCATGTCTTAAATCTCATGTCTTGAATCTCATGTCCTGTGGTTGTGCCTTGCCTCTTTTTCCTGCCATTTAAGATAGCAAGAGAGAGATCCAGAATAGTTGCACAGCTGATTTCACACTGACAAGTTAAATCTGTTATAAAAAATGCCACATGGTCTCCTAATTTTTAAAAATTGTATTGCAGATACCTCTTATATCTACAAATAAAACGAGACATTTTCCATGGCCGGTTGCTGTGTTCTTTTTCTGATGCTGCCTACCTGGGTGCCTGTATTGTCCAAGGTAAGTTCAAGCAGTAGGCTTTATTAAATGCTTAACTCATAAGGTGTGTTCTGTTGTGAGAATGTAGGTAGCAATAATGTATATATGTGATTTTTTTTAGTTATATTGCTTCCCTACATTGATGTGCACTGCTAAAGTGTTTTAAGCAATCAAGTTATTAGCCTAGTAAAACTAAACAGAAACTTATATAAAAAAATCTAGTCATGAACAAAGCAAAATTCTGTTCTGAATCCTGGATGTAAATTGAACCTATTCTGTTTGAACTAAACAGAAGAAGGTATCATTCAGTGCCCTTTCTTATGGTAAAGAAGACCTGTGTGATGATGGAACACCTGGCAGAAATAGTAGACGTAATTCAAGGAGAAAAGTCTTAAAAAAATTTTTTTTGGTCTTTTTTTTTTTTTAAATTTATTTTTTTTATTCTCTCTCTCTTTCTTCACATCATTTCCTTAGGACCATATTCAGGTACCTGTCTTGGATTGCACACAGAGTATTATCTAGCTTTCTTACTAGGGACTTCATATGTGTGGAAGTCCCCTTTATTCAGCTGTAACATGACTTAAGCTCTTAATGTATTAAAAGGCAGTGTATTCAAACCAAGGTTGAGTCTACACCTTATTAAAAGAGGCTTATTTGGAAAATGAAAACACTAAATGCCATGTTTGGGTATCAAAGTGACACATCTTTTGGGAGACGAATCAGATACTGTGGGCTGCCTTAAATGGTGCTACAGCCTGTGTTACTCAGCTATAACAGTATTAAACCAGTCCATATCAGTGAGGATAAACTGATGTAGAAAAGAGGAGAATCTGGAGTGCCTTGTTTTAGTTCTGCCTGTTGCCAGAATGACAGGTACTCAGAGGTGGAGTATTACCTGTGTCTCTGTTTCTGCCACAAAAATAATTTAGGTTTGCTAATTACTACTGCCATTAATAAACTCATTGAAGTGACAGTTGCAAGGACTTTGTTGTTTCAGTTAACTCAGTTCTTCAAAGCAGCATTTCTTGAGAGGTGCGGAGTTCTTACTGATGGTGGAAGTGTCTTGAATTACACTGTCTTTATAGACTTTTTTCCTTATTAACTAAAGGTGCAAGTGAATGTTTCTGTTTTGTTTTGTATTTCGGATTTGTTTAGCTGAGCTTGGTGATTATGATCCAGATGAACACCCAGAGAATTACATCAGAGACTTTAAGATTTTTCCCAAGCAATCACAAAAGCTCGAGAAGAAAATAGCTGAAATGCATAAAAATGAATTCAGGTAATTCAGAATGCTTTTTAGTAAAAAAACAGCTAAGAAATACCTTTGTTCCCAAATAGTGTGTGTTAACCTAGAAGGTTTTTTTTACTTGCTTTATAATAGAAGCCCTACCAAGAGATGGTCTAATATGCTGTGTTTGAAAATTCGGTTTCAGCTAAGTAGGTTTTCTGTTGCTGTTAACCTTCATTAATCATAGCTGATCCCTGCATGTGTGTTGGTAATTTAGTCTGCATTTACTTGAAATGTAGGTCTGGTTAATGGGAGTGTCTCACATCATGAATGGTGCCCTGGTTGATTAGTGGAATAACATATTTTGCCTAGGAGTCAAAAGACTTGGTGTCTTTTGCTGTGAAATTTCTGTATTTAGTGTAATTGTGAATCAAGTCATTTTGTGTGTAGGTTGTTAACAAAGAGGTGAATTGCACAGAAATGTCTTTAAATAACTTATTTGGAGGACTAAGGAGGTGAGATTCAGAACTCGTAAACTTTTAGTTGTGTGCCAAAGGGGAGTGGAGAAAGATGCATGAATCAATCCTTTGTTTTCAACGTTGAGTGTGTGTGTCCCTGAGGGATGGTGTTTCCAGGAGAGAAGGATCAGTGCGTTGTGCAGCTGTTCCCTCCTCGGGCTGGTGAGCGAATGGCACCCGCAGGAGTCGAGGGGAGAGAAGCGCGATAACCCAGGCACGTCGCCGAGCCGAGGACAGTCCTTGGAAAATTAGATCGAGAGATGCCAAATTCCGGGGGCGGGAAGAAAATTAAAAATTAATTTTCAGAGGAGATAAAGCTTAAAACATGCGTTGTTTTTTTCCCCCAGAAGCCTACATCAAATATGGTGCACAAAGTGCAACATTCATGACAGTAAGCTTGTCAGTATTAATGTGTCTTCCCCTTTTTTCTTCCTGAAACCTCTATACTTTGTTTATATTTCTTTCAGTGAAACGTTTTAAATAGCACAGCTGCAGGTAATATTTTTCCAGCAGTCCGGGCTGCACTTTACACAGACCTGTAGAAACAGCCTTTAAAAAAAGGAAGTGTTGCTTCACACAGTGCCTACAGATTTCCAAAGGATAAATTCAACCTTTAGAAACTAAGATCTTTCATCAATTAAGCCAAGGTGCAATTGAAAAGATTTTGATCAGTCTTTCAAAAACAGGCTAGTCCTTTATTAAAGAGAAGGGAAGGAAGCTGGTGTTTTTTGTATTTCACAGCCCTGGGAATGATGTAATTTTCTGCATTTTTTTTTATTATAATTTTTTTTTTCCCCTTGTACATAGTTCTGCCCATCCATTGTGAATTTAATGTGCTAGTTCTTCTGTTATGAATAACCACGTACATTTTTAGCTCCTATTTTGAACCCACTTTCGTGTTAGTGTAATAATGTTTCTGATCCTGTGATAGCAAATGGTACAAGTACAGATCCCTCTGGGATTCTTCTGGTTGTGTGTATTCTTCCCATCAATGGCTTCCCAGCATGTGATTCTCTCCCCTGACTTTCTTCAGTAGACTTGTTGAGAGACAGTATTCATTATTGGTTTTTGGAAATCAGATGGTGTCAGCCCAGCTTCTTTGCCCTGTGAAATCTGCTGATTCCTGCAGAAAAATCCAGAAGGTGTTTATAATTTATAGCACAACTCTCCTCATATATATACTTACATGTATATGTTCCTCAATTATCTTTCTCTTCCAGATTTTAGCAATTTGTGTGTAATGAAAGATAGGCTTAGTGGCTTACAGCTCTTCACAGACTTCAGGAACTGTTTTCTTCCACATACGTCAGCATATGTCTAGTTACAAAGACAGTTCAGAGCTGTCTGGATAGCTACTATCTGGCAATTTTTGACTGTAGCTCTGTCTTCCCAAAATTGATATCCTGTTACATTTTTAACATGAAACATTCGCTAGGCAGATAGATGTTTTGCTTTTTCTGGATATATAATTCCATGAGTCTCTATTCTAGGAATACAAATTAATAAAACATATTTGTCCTGTAATGAACTATATATGGAGAGGTCCCATTCTAGATTGTCAGATTTCTGTATCAATCTGGAAAAAGATTATTAGAAAAAACATCAAACTTACAGGCTTCTGTCTGGTATTGATCAGCTCATCTGTTTCACTGCATTCATCAAGTTGAATTTCCAATTAAGAATTAATTTTTTGCTATTCAATGAGTATGTTTTTTTAAAAGCTGCAAGGAGTTCCCCATGCCTTTCTTTAACAAGATACTTGAGTGATGTGCTAGCTGAGTGCTGATGTTTGAGGAGAGCAGAACAGACTAGACAATTTTAATCCAGCTACCATTCATCTGCCTTCAGAAGAGTTAATTCTGAGTTTTAGCACTGCAAATGAGTTTGGTTCTGTTTTGTTCACATGTATAAATAAACAGAGATCATAGCATCTATCTTCTGCTGTAGGCTCCCATATAATCAAAGCCCTGTGACTTGGAAGGGGCCAGTTCTTCACTGAATTCTCTGTTGGTATTCTCAAGGCCTGTTCACTGGACACATCTTTTCTGTCCTGCAGTAGGATGAAGTCATTTCCCTTTTGAAAGGTGCATGAAGACAGTGAGGGGAATGTTTGGGAAGCAGCAGTAGTGTGCTGTGATGCCTACCAGTGACTTAGTGACTCATCTTCGGTCATTTAGAAGCCCTATTCTTATTAATTAAAAAAGATGTATGACATAGTGCCCCTATTTCTTTACCTCTGTGGCTGTGAGAACGTCACTGGATTTTAGCAAAGTGTGACCATCTACGTGGCTTTCCACTGTGCCTAATTGCAAAAATATAAATATAAGCCAGCTTTATTTAACTGTGATTAATTGGCTTATGAACTTTAATTAATTACTCTTCCTTCATGGAGAAAGTAGAGGTTCAGGAGTAATTTCATTGAACATTACAAATGGTGGGGCAAACACCTGCCTTGATTTCATCACAGAACATGTTCTGATTTTCCTCTAATTCCAAGTGAGTCCGCTTCTGAAACATGGTATTCCACTGGGAGGTGAAGAGTTAATGCTTTTAGGACTTAAAAGCTTCGAATATGTGAGGATGCACTGGGAACCGATGAGACTTAGAGACTTGTTCTTAAAAGAATAAAAAAAATATTCAAATGTTATGTTTTTATGTATGGTTACCACAGAGCATAACTACTGAAGTATTAGTTACTTGCATTTCTGTTTCTCTGCCACTTCTAACAGCTTGGAAAAGATTTGGGCCATAAAAATCTAAATATTCTCTGAGTGTATTCTGGCATGCCTTCTTCAAGTGAAGTGAATGCTAAGGTCCCTCCTGAGGTTGTTCATTTGCATGTATATCCCATATCCCTTTTAGTTAGACATGTGCAAGCGTTTGTAAGGTTGCATTGTAAATCACATCAGTGAAATGATCCCAATTAAAAATAACTTGTTTCCTTTTTCTTGACTTCCATGCAAAAGTACATGGAACCACACATTCAGTTCTTAGGCAGGATTAAAGATATTTAATACACTGCACTGTGCTCAGTGTTTAAAGCCGTAGTTAATTTTTATTTCTGGTGTCCAAAAGACTCTAGTTTAACAAAAATATAGTGAAGAATTCTATATAGATTTTGGGGAAACAAAACCAAAACAAAAACCATCAAATGAGGTTAAACAGAGTAATGACATCTTCTAGGTAGAGGAGAGGAAAGCTGAGTGAAAGGTTAATTCTTCAAGCACAACAGCAGGGATTAGTAGTATTTCTAGGTTTTAAACTGAAAGATTACTCAGGTGATTTTAGTAATCTTTTGAGGATTTGAGGGTTGGTTTTCTTTGTTTGTTTGATTGGTTTTTGTTTGTTTGTTGTTGTTTGTTTTTTAAAACACATCAGGAGTTTAGTCCTTTCAGATATTCCCAAACCAGTTGTGCTTTTTCTGGCAGAATTGGTTCTGTTTGTTTGTGCAAACTGCATTAGTAGCTGGCCCGATTTTGCTTCTAGCCACTGCTATTGGCTTTTGTGGGCTCCTCTTGCAAGAGTATGGATTTGTATGTAGGTACACACCTGTATCAGTACCATTCTGAAAGTGGCTGAGACTTCTGTGTTGTTCCAACTGTGGGATTTGCTTCAGATGACCAAATAAAACATCACATTTTTAGTCCAGTCACAGTCTTTTCTCCCTTTTCCAAGACAACAAATTGTTTCTATGAATTTATACCAAATCTTACATCCTTTGGCAGAACATTTCTTACTCTGAAGAAAATCCCTGGCTTTTGAAGGATACCTGTCAGCCACAGCTTCTTGAGGCCAGACACCTGAAAATACAGACTTCTGAAGATAAGATCTACATAAATCCCTGTTAAGTGACTTCATATTTGTAGGATTCATGGGTTGTTTTTTTTTTCCTTTTTTTTCTTATTTGAAAAGACTCAGTGGTTGAAAAGATTTTTTTTTTGTCCCACCTGAAAACTAATGATCCATTTTTACTTATTTCTGATAGATGAAATTTAGATGAAAGTGTTATGTGAATAGCAAATATTGTATCTAAAAGCCCTACACAAACATTAACTTTGTCCAGTAAATTATAGAGTTACATGATGCTGTTTAAATGCCTCTTTTCCTGGCTGACCTCATATAAGTAAATGCAAGTTAATTTTTATTGCTTGTGATGTCCAATGTGGATAGAGACTCAGGAAGGTTAAATTGCTGCTGTGTTGCCTGTATTCTCCATTGTATACTCCAGCTTTCACAAAAGTTCAATGTGGCAGAACATGTCTTGGGAGAAGGAATAGTTACCTCTGAGGACATGAAATCTCTGCCATGTTCTGCTGTTAACTATCTCAAAAGCAATTTAAACTTTTGAGCTAAGGGGAAGTACCTTATTGAAAACCAGAGTATGGTTGATTGGTACTTGATACAAACTGATGCTTGTCTTTGGTCCAGGATCAATGAGAAATGTTTTTTAAATTTTATTTGGAAGGCATATAATATCTTAATCCTTTGTTGCATCACGTACACTGTAACTACTCTGTGGGGATTTAAGCACTT